GCGCCCCTCCCCGCCCCCTCCCCCGGCTCCTACCCCTGCCTGCTGCCGTCTACCCAGGGGCTTCACCCGGGCATAGATCTGGATCGTTTGCTTCACCATCCCGCCGCTCATGGACCGGGGAGGAAAGGAGGAACTAGGCCCTGTATAGCAACGGTAACCAAGGAACACTACCCAGCATGCTCCGCGCCAGGCGGCGAGAGGCGGGGGCGCGCCCGCGAGCTACGCAAGTGCGCCCTGGAGAGCGGTAACTAAGCGGTGGCTGGCGCCGGGGCCTGCTTTATTCCGGTGGCGAGCTTTTGGTGCCCCGGCTGTTCCCTGTGCCGGGCCCTCGCCCAGGCCTGTAACATGGGCTGCGTCCCGCGAACGCCGCTATTTGCAGCCCGGCCCGGGGTTCTGTGGTCCCTGCCAGAACGGTGCGCCCTTCCCTCGCCTCGCGCGGGCGGTCAGTGAGAGCGTGGCAAGGCCCCTGTGCTGAGAGCCAGAGTCTGCAGCGTTTTTGGTGCCCCGGCTGTTCCCTGTGCCGGGCCCTCGCCCAGGCCTGTAACATGGGCTGCGTCCCGCGAACGCCGCTATTTGCAGCCCGGCCCGGGGTTCTGTGGTCCCTGCCAGAACGGTGCGCCCTTCCCTCGCCTCGCGCGGGCGGTCAGTGAGAGCGTGGCAAGGCCCCTGTGCTGAGAGCCAGAGTCTGCAGCGTTTGGGGGGTTGCCTTAAGCCACTGCTCCTTGAGCGGCGTGAGACTTCGCTAGCTCTCAGGGCAGAGAAAAGCTGACCCATCAATCAAACCAAAACAGACACACTGTACTTGTTTAAGAGTAAGTCTCCTGTGGTTTAAATCAATTCATTGGGGGGCCTGATTCGTGTTTTTTGAATCTCAGTCTGGGTGACCCTGCAATTGATATTGTTATACCCTTTTGAGAGAGAAATTGTTAGGTACAAGAACATGGACTGGAGGGTGTATGTAGAGTCACAAAGGACAATGATAAATGACAGCAAAGTGAGTTAGGGCAAGTCTATGGGTATGGCACATGATAACATTTTAGGTCTGGTCATGTTTATTATATTCACTAAGGCTACATCTACACTGCAACCTTATTTCAGTGTTTGCATCTTCAGAGCAAGCCCGTTATTGCAGGCTCACTATTTGGACATCCCAGTAAACCTCATTCTGCGAGGAGTAAGGGATGTTTCACGATAGCACTTTATTTCAAAATCTGGCACTATGTAGATAGCTTATTTCATCATTTGGCACTATGTGCAGTTTTGGGGAGGGAACAGCAGTTTTTCACCCTTGAGAATGACATGAGGCAGAATGGAGAAAATGGGACAACTGTGATGAGGGGAAAAGAATAGCTCCAACCCTCAATTTTTGACAATAAGATGAGGGGGTTGGAATGGAAACCCTTTACAAAATCTAAAGAAGTGATCAGACTTTCTGGTGATGCAGTAGCAAGAAGTAGCATTGCAGTTGGAAAAGGAGCCTGCTGCTACATACAGATGCACAAAGCCTGTGGGGGAAACTGCAGGAACTCTTGAGTTATGGCTTATGCCCATGGTCACCAACAGGTCGATCAGTTGATCGAGAGACGTCTTGTCCACCACGCCCCCATTTCCCTCCCACCCCGGAGAAGCCCCACTACCTACCTCAAGTGAAAATGGAGGTAGTGTCACCTTCTCAGGATGGACAGAAGTCCCGAAGGAAGCTTAGCGCCACTTCCGGCGATTCTGGAAGTGCGCTAGCTGCTCTGCCAGGTGTACTGCGGGAGGGAGCATTGGCTCCCAGGCACCCCCAGGAGGGGGGGAGCCGGACTGGGAACTGACTGGCTAAGCAGCAGTTCAGCATAAAAGGACCTGGGGATTACAGTCGATAAGAAGATGGATATGAATTAACAGTGCACCTTTGTAGCCAAGAAGGCGAATGGCATAATGAGGAGCATTAGTAAGAGCATTGCCAGCAGATCTAGGGAAATGATTATTCCCATTTATTTGGCACAGGTGAGCCACATCTGGAATATTGTGTCCAATTCCCGCGCCGCGGGAGGGGGGAGTCAGGTCCGGAGGAGGTGCACGTCGCTTCCCTCGGGGAAGGGAAGAGGGGGAATCCTGGGAGGAGGTGGGTGCAGGAGACTCCCTGCTGCCACTGGCACCCTGCCCCCTGCCCTCCTTGTTCCCTATTCTCTCTTCCTTGTTCCTTGCCCCCTCTTCCCACTGCCCAGCCACAGAACTGTCCCCACTCCTCTGTCCCCAGCCACAGAACTGTGTCCCCACCCACAAAACTCTGTCCCCAGCGGCACCCTATCACCAGCTGCAGAACCCTGTCCTCTCCCCTCCCAGCAACCTGTTCCCTCTCCCCTGCCCCCCACCGCAGAACTCTGTCCCCACTCGCACCCTGTCCCCAGCTGCAGAAACCTGCCCCACTGGCACTCTGTCCCCTGCTGCAGAACCCTGTCCTCTGCCCTCCCAGCACCCTGTTCCCTCTTCCCTGCTCCCCACCGCAGAACTCTGTCCCCACAAAATGTATAATTATAAATGCTTCATTTTAGATTTAAATAGCATGAATAAAAAACAGACCATTTATTTCATAACTATAAACATGATATTAATTTTATATATCGCATAATTTAAAAATAAACTATTTATCAGAGTGTGTAAGTAAGGACTGGAGATAGCAAGTGGTGGACAGGAGGAGAATAGAGAGGGTGGGGCTTCAAGGAAGGGGCGGGGCTTCAAGGAAGGGGCAGGGCCATAGATCTTTGCCTGTTCTGAGATTTAAAAAGTGATATTGGGTGTAAAAAGGTTGGAGACCACTGGCTTATGCACTAATTGTTACTACATGTCAGAGGTCTGTAACCTATGGCTCTCAAGCCAAATATTGCTCATTATGGGACACCTCGCATTGGCCACTGTTGGCAGACAGGATACTGGGCTGGATGGACCTTTGGTTTGACCCAGTATAGCCATTCTTATGTACCAAATATGGCTCTTTTGTCATTCCCAAAATACATGCAACTTTTTAAATTAAAATACAAAAATTAATTCAAAATTTTAAAAACACATAATTACTCGTGTAGTTTGGTTGCATGCATGAACCTGAATTTGACCAGTGATGATGTAAATTTCAAAGAAATATGCGAAAAGAGTCAGCAGCCGAAGTCCCATTAAATAAAGTCTGTGAGTACAATATTTCATTTATGCTACTATTAATCATTATGTCAAATATCAAAAATTTACTTTGCATATGTTTAGTCATGCATATGGGCATTCTTATACAACTGTTGACCACTTGTTCTGAATTTGGATGTAGTTTGGCTCTTCAGTTTGAAAAGGTTGCCATCCCCTGCTATATGGAAAGAACCTTTTGTGAGCATCAGGAAGACAGTGTGGAGAGTTCCAATGACCCACCAGACTATGAAACTCAATCTTGCTTATAGATGATACCTGATTTTCCTCAAAATAATTTCCCCCAATTAGCTACAGCAGCATAGCCAGTTGCCCTGAGAAGTCCAAGCCCTCGGATGGACTGACCCTAACTTTGAGTTTAGGGGATTTTGGGGATTTCTCTTCTGTCAGTTGTAGTACATCATTTTGTTTGAGGCATGTGCAAGACTCCTTATTGGGAATGTATCACTCGACTAAACCTAGTTGCTGAAGAGCCTTCAGCTCTTGCTTATGAGTTTTTGGTACAATTAGCATACTATCAAATACTATTTTTGAAAAAAAGACCACAGTATTTCAGCAACTCCAGCAGCTGAGGATTTTATAGAGTTGCATCTTATATATAAATTCCAGTTTCTGGTAATTTCATGGTAAAATTGCTCATAGAATTTTGAATTAGTAGTTTAAATATTATAATTAATCATCTCTTTGACTCCCCTATTTTTATCTAATTAATAAGTAATATGGCTCACAATAGATACTGGAAAATGGAAGTTCAGGGAGTATATTCCATGATGTCACTTAGCAACCTACATGCCTCCAAATAAACAGCCTTGTAAGTTTCATAATAGCCTAAACTTTTATTTTTATTTTTTGTAAGTTTGGCATTTTGTAGGCTTTATTTATTCTTGGCAGCTACCATGGCTCTTTGGCTGGGATGACAGTTAGATGCTAGAACACTCAAATGTTTCCATGGATCAGCTGGATGAATGCAGGGCCAAAGCTCTTTTGCCAAAGGCTAAATTTGTCACGTCATCCAGCTCCTGGGAAACCTGTGTCTCTATGTGGCTCTTCCACATGGTCAGACAACCTCTTGTGCCTTTTTAAATGAACAATATTTAAAATATGAAACTTGGCGTTTGGATGAAAGTTCAAATACAACAACTTTAGCATCTGATAGAAACTCTGTTGGGGACTACAGTTGGTATTTATAAAAAGGACTGCAACATTTGGGGGTAGCAGAAGATGGAGGATGAGATAGTATATTGACAGTCTACACAGATTCCGCCCATAATCCCAAACTGTACCCCATCTCAGAATATTTTGGTGTTTTAGCCTAAATCTTCATCAGTTAAATAGTTAACAGCATTGACATTTAAATTGTCAACAGCTGAGTTTGGTATTAACAGTCCATTGAGAGGATATGGGATGATTTCATTCCCTCCTCTCCCTTTCAGATTACTTGTACATTTTGTCTCTTTGAAGACAAAGCTACATCATGGCATGTGTAATGGTTAAGCTTGGCAAATATCTTGAATTATCCCTGCTGTTTTGTCCATTTCGTGGCATTCGTACCAAACACATTTCTTTTTTTCTAAAAATGTAGGTATTGTTAGACAAAGCCAAGACTGGGAAAATCTTAAAATACCCTCCCCAGTACTTTATTTTTATTCATTTTGGAATTTTTATAAAGCAAATGAAAAACACATGAAAGAATATGGAACAAAATAAGGAACTTCTAGGACTCTGCTTCAGGAGCCAATAACATTTTTGGCTGAAGACTTTTTTTTTCTAAATTATCAGCTGAGTCCCCTATTGGAAACTACAATGATAGCAAATTTAAACTAATATACTTATACGGCAGTGCTGATATTATCTCTAGTGGATCTTTTTACACCCAAGATCACTTTTTAAAACTCAGAACAGGCAAAGATCTACCGCTCCGCCCGTTCCTTGAAGCCCCACCCTCTCTATTCTCCTCCTGTCCATCACTTGCTATCCCCAGCCCTTTCTTACACACTCTGATAAACAGTTTATTTTTAAATTATGCGATATATAAAATTAAAATGA